ATTTTGTTTAACAAAAGTAAGTCAATGTTCCGTTTTCAGCTTTGTCCACTGCCTCCAGGTGGACAAATATAGACTTTTACTGCTTTGAGTAGAAAAAAGTGTGCACTACTAACACTTCATCCTAAAATAACTCCGAGTAAAGTCTTGACAGGTGTTAGGCATTACTGAGAATATCTGAACATGCTCGCTTTAAAAGATTATCCTGTTTAGAACACCAGTGTCCAGACAGGAATGGGGATTAATACATCATCACTGCGCGAAACCGTGACGAAGTACAGCGCTTGTTTTTCCCATATTACTCAAACATTTGTAATATGCGTCACATTTCCTTTGCATTCCGACCCGTTACTGATATCCTCTCATGAGCTCCTGCATTCTGACAGGAGCAGCGTGCCCCAAATAAAACCTGCACAGCAGGAGCTGAGCAAAGTGCTGTTGAAGGGGATCACACACTAACACTTCATATCTAATTTTTAGGAGGTCGCCCAATGGATTTCTTAATGTACAAGAACTTTACAAAGCAAGCGTGCTATTTGGAATCTCTTTCATTAAGTGTCCGTCAGTTTGAGCCAATATGCAAGGATGGGTTTTAACAGCTGTTTGTTTATATTCTCCACAGTGTTTATAGTCAACAGAAGCCTCCCTAAAATCACTCTAACGAGATTTTCTTCTGTACTCTCCTGTCTGATTGGAGTCGGGGATAATTGTCACAGCCACTGAGGAGAGATGACAAGAATACAAATTGTCGTCAGAGGAGAGGAGCGAGCGGGGTCGAAATGCTGTCACTAAAAACAGATGCAATTACCAGCTCAAGCTGAACTGATTGGTGTCCTGCTGAACGGAAGGCTTCCCTCCAATAATCAAATCAGTTGAAAAGGAACAGATGAGTGAGCAGAGTCAATTCGGTCCTTACTATGTAGAAATTACTTGGCACCAACAAACCCACAGAAAAGATTAATTTCATGAATACTATTGGAAACAGACATTTAGGCAAGGCAAGGCAAGGGAATTTTATTTGTATAGCACTTTTCATACACAAGGCAGACTCAGAGTGCTTCACATCATAACATTTCATACAATAAAGTGAGATAAAATGCAGGAATTAAAAGACAATTAAAAACAGCAAATAAAATTATAAATTAAAATCTTATTTAAATTGTTTAATTTAAGGCAGAGGTTAAAAGTGCAATGTAGGTAAAATTTAGCAGAAGGCGAAGCTGAACATAAAAGTTTTCAGTCTTGTTTTAAACGTGGTCAGAGTTGGGGCAAGTCTTAAATCTTCAGGAAGTTTACTCCAGCTGTTTGTTGCGTAGTAACTAAATGATGCTTTCCCATGATTTGTATTTACTCTGGGAATCACTAACAGATTGGTGTCAGAAGATCTTAGTGATCTTGAAGGCTTATGTTGTGAAAGCATATTGGTGATATACTTTGGCCCTAAACCATGTAGTGATTTATATGTGAGCAGTAGAATTTAGTTTATATGTTACTGGATATAAATCAATATAACACACAAAAAAACCCTTTGAATTTTGAGAATTTCCTGAAATGAAATCACAGCCCATAAAACATGGAGATACCAGGCTAAGACTACATGCTAGCCCAGTGTGTGGACAGTAGAGAAGGACAGTCTCACGTTGATAGCGTGAAGATAAACTACTCTAGGGCAGGCTTTCGTCTAGGCCCCACGGCAGAAAAACGACTGAATATCTGGATTGTTTCAACCACTTTTTTTCTTCATCATCTGATCCTATCAGATGCAACTAAACCCACGTGTACAAGAGTGACGGGTCCCTCAGCTTGCAAGCCGGAATGGGTAGAGCGAAAAAAGTCAATGGCCGCAGCATGTATGTTTTACGCTAAAAAAAACTGAACACAGCGTTAATATTCTGGATGCTTGTTAGTTATTTTGCTCTGGTTTCGGCAAAGTTTGTCTGAGAGAAATGTTACAGATATCACTGACTTCCACATGGTCTCGGCAAGCGATTCTGTGGGTGGTTGTATTTGCTGGCCTCTTGCTTTTGCATAAAATATTTCATAACTTGTTGTATTTTCAAACAAATAAGTGCAGATTGGTACATCCATGCTGATTCATGTTCACGTCCTTGCTTTGGCAGGAGAGGGCACATTTATGAAGCATTTCATTGTTTGAGTGTTCGATACAATGGAATCGTTTTTAAAATTAAAACGCAAACTGTAAGAAATAAATCACTCAGGATCATTACATTACATTACATGTCATTTAGCAGACGCTTTTTTATCCAAAGCGACTTACATTACACTTTAAACCCATGGCTTTTCACATTTATACCTGGGGAGCAATTAGGGGTTAGGTGTCTTGCTCAGGGACACTTCAACATGGAACACGGGGCAGCCTGGAATCGAACCACCAACCTTGTGCTTCCCAGCACACCTTCTCTAACCCCTGCGCCACGACGACCCCTATAAGGATCACTTATAGTGCATCATATATTTGAGTGTACGAATTAGGATTTGTTGGTTATTAACTTTTATTTGGTATTATTATTAGTACTTCGGTCTCATGTGGGACACTTATAAATAACTCCCTTTCAAATTGTGTATTCATTCATACCAATTAAAAAATATTAAGCAGCAAATAAGAGCTTTATACAGAAACCTCAATTAGAAACATTTAGAACCAGTTGCAGCTGTCAGAAACATATTCAGTAACTAAATGAAACGGATTTCCAGAGATTTTAATATTAAATCAGGTGTCTTTAGATTTATATGAAATCATGTTCAGTTAGAGATTACATTTTTTAAGTGTGTCATTCTACTGTGTATAGAGAAATGTATCTTAAAAAAAATATATCCATACCTTTTTACAATGAAGGCTTTGGATATGTGGTGGGCATAGCAATGTGGCTTGGCAGGTCTCTTGGGTACCGACTGAAATATCTCCACTACCATTGTCCGATAAATTGCTTTGACATTTGGGGCGGACATTTAAGGACCCCGGGAGATGTGTCCTGATGACTGGAGTGATTGCGTGTTATTCTCTTTGCACCACCAGCAGGTCAACGTGTTTGATGATGCAGTGAGATGTCTTAACATCTACGATAGGGATTGGCACAACATATTGTAAAGATTTTCATGGCCTGGATAAAAAGCAAGAGAAGACCGTGGAGCTTGCACATGGGTAAAGGCTGAAATAGGTGCATGTCATTTAAGCGATAAGGTACGAGAGGCTGTACTTTATCGTCGAGGGCGTTGTCAGGCCTGACGCGCAGCCCTCGAACTGTTATATTATTGAACATAAAGTACTGCCTCTCGTACCTTATTGCTTTTATAATACGGGTGCTTCCGAAATTATGAATAATAAGTATATAGCTGCCTATCAGCTCAAAATACCATTAGCCACCATTAGCCACCAAATGTTGTGTATTGCAATTTAGTGGCCTAGAGAAAAATAGTCTCTGTACGTGCATGTAAACAGCGTTGGGTCTCCTTGTAAGATCTCGCACCATCTCATTCATTAACATCGCTCATGACGTCCACATAAATTGTCCGGTTGCGAAAGCTCGCAATGCCCGAAACCGATCATTTGTCGGATTTCCGATCCTTTTTCGACGATCGCCACCGAGCTAAAAGCTGAAGTGAACGACTAACACAGTGTACGTAGTGTGCGCAGTGATATGGAATGCTCGGGTCAAGGTACTGTACATTATCGCTGATTATTATCGCTATTATCGCTGATGGGTAGATGAAATCGAGCGTTGTGATTGGTTGAGAGTGAGTCACGGGAAGCACATTATTGAGCGATATTGTACAGTTGCTGTTCACATTGACCCGAGCGTTCACTGCGCACGCAAAGTAACATGTTAGATTTTGTGCGACCGTTAGTTGACATTTTCTTTTAGCTCGGTGGCAACTACTTTATGTTCATAATCCCAGAATAATCCTTTGGCTTTCCCGCCACGCTCACCATGAGGTTCACGTATTTGAAATGTTTCAACAGTTTCTGTGACCGGCCTTGTCTCTCAACTTAAACTGTGCTTAGCAACAATAGCTTTGCTATGAAGCATTTCAATGGAAGTAGAAACTGGGAGAACTGTATCTTTTTAGGTTCCAAGCCCCGTCTCCCCCGAGTGTGTAGGGACAAAAAGAATCTAACAAGTCTACGGCATCAAAGACTGCCCCATCACCTCATTGAACATCAACCACCAAATCGGGGATATGGAGCAAACAATAACTTTGGGGATGATTGTGAATCAAAAAGAACCAGCCCGCCGGGAGGAGAGAAGCAGCCATGGATTTGTGTTCCAACACAAGCCTTCACCACGCAGGGCCTGTCAGCGCCCTCCACCTTACCGAATATTTATGCCTGGCACAGAGCCTCCCTCCGGGGCCAAGAGGCCTGGAAGAGAGAGGCCGTACTGAAGGTGATCTGGGTGTCAGCCGTGTGTGTGCGATTGTGAGAAAGAGAGAGAGAGTGTGAGAGAGAGAGAGATAGCCCCACAGGTGATTCCACATGCCAGCTGTTAATATTAATAGGGTGGTGGGAAATAGAGATGTGGGCTGCATGCTGAAACACACACTCCCACAGACCCAGATAAATTACAGCAGCTGTATCACATTCCTTGATAAAAAGAGAACTCACGCATGTGTGGCAAGCGTGAGGTCGGGGAAGACTGCCCCGATCGTTTGGATTTTAAATAAGGGAAAAAGATGAACCAGCAACGCCACCCCGGGAGGTAACCCAGGGAAAACGAACAAAATCTATGAATAAAGTAAATTACTAAATTTAAACAAAGGACAACACAAGTTCGCTATACTGAGCAGGCGGGAGACGTGTTTCCAAAAGAAATAAAGTTTATTTCAGTCAAAATAAAAAGCTCAAGAGAACTAATCAATTCAATGATAACAATAATAACAAAAATAATCCAGGAAAGTCTCCCTTCAATCAATCCACATAAAACAGCAACGTCCTTAAAAAGGGTTATTTTATCCCCATAAATAGAGTTTGTTTTAACCCTATAAAAAGTAGGTTTGTTCTATCCCCGTAAAAAGCAGCAGCAGTCCAAAAGCAGTACAGTTCGGGGTAGCCAGATGCCGAGCCCTCAGCGTGACATCGCTCCGGCACCGAAAGGGAAACTACCCGACACGCGCCGTCCAACCTGCCAGCGCCTGCACATGAACTCACATTATTAAATGGTACACGGATGGGCACATTGGCGTGCAATTAATGGTTACATACCTGCGCTATGGAACACAATTTTGCGCCACACCAAAGAGTGCGGAGCGTCTGCAAAAACCTGCAGCCAGGCAACCCGGAAGCAGAAAGTTCGCACCCATTGCCAGAGAGAGAGAGAAAGAGAAAGTGCAGATATACCGATCCCTTCTCATAGGGCAGATAATTAAAGGGACAAGACCTCGAATGCGCCAAGAGCAGTCGTCCTGCTACACCTGCAACAGACATGGCGCACACTACTTGACACAGCTATTGAAACAAAGATGAGTTAAGAGGAGAATAGAAGTACACAGGAAGGTCTGGCGTCCAGACAGAGGCCTTTAGCTCATTTTAGCAACATGTGAGTGTGTTTTGCAGCGAGCTCCATAATTTGCTGACCTGGCATTCTTTCCGAGCAGTACGATCCAAAAACCCATCCATGCATCTAAACAGCTGGAAAAGGATGCCCATAAACTACAAATCTTAGAATACCCAAGGAGCACAAGGTGTGTGTTTGTTGTCCAGGTATTGTGTCTCCAGCCTCCCATTGTCCCAGTCTCTGCCTCATTGCCTTCACAACTGCTATTGATTTATAGCAGCATTGTTTCCTGCAGCCTGGATGGGTACTTAAACCACATCCCTGTGTGTGTGTGGGTGTGTGTCTAAGTGTGTGTGCGCGGACAGAATTAAAAGAGAAAAACATGTGATGTGATGGGAGAGAGATGAGGAGCGAACATAAGGAGGAAGTTGTGATCATAACAGTGTCCAAGACAAGACACCAACAGTTCTTGGTGTTCGGTCCAAAGAACTAAATAAAGAACCCATCTTTGCTCAAAAAACAAAAAAACAAATAGTAAAAGATGCAGCAAATGGAAAAGCACTTGTAGCCATTTAAAACACATGGACACAGGCACCACTTGGACTTTATATCACCTGGGATCATCCCCAGCGTTTCTGTTAGGTACCCAGGATCTTGCTGCTGCTCTGCCCACCAGCCGTTCTCGTCACAGACAAATCACATTCCCGATCACCTTGTTAACTAGTCGATTATGTCTGAGAGGCCCCATCTCTTTATGAACACAGACATTAAGGTCATTAAAAATCTCTTTAGGAGTTAATTGTCACAGCGTGGGCCGTTACAGAGTGTCCTGGCATAGGAAAGGATCTCTGATTGTGGGATTGAATGAGTGACACCAATGCAGGCTGGTAAAAGTAATAATGTATTTTTTGTTGCCTTACTTGATTTTCTCCTCAATACCGCTGTAACTTCTCACATCTTCAGAGCGTCTCCACGTTTCTCAGTCCAGCAAGGATCCATGTTTAGCTATACAATACAACAATAATCTTCTCCAGATTATTTTAATTCAAATCTTTGCAACATTTGCTTCCTTTCATAACTTCCCGTCTCACTATATAGTACACTCACGCCGGTGAAGGTCAGAAATAGGAGATTTCCAACTAAAAAAAAGTCAGAGCAGAGACTTAATGCTTCATCTGTATGTAGACTCATGGCTCACTAGACAGATGAAAATACACTGCAGTTTATTGAGTATAACCACACTGAATTGGGTATTAATCAACTTAAAACAGACCTTAAAAAGCTAAAGAGGAAGTTGCAGCCATCATTTTGCAAAAGATATCATCTTAAACAACACACCTAATTTCAGATGACTCTTTAATTGACCAGCGTAACAGGATGAATGCCATTAGTGTGTTTAATGCCCCAGTAATACCTTAAAAGGTACATAGGTCCTCCTTTTAGAGACCCATAAATGAAAGTGTTTTACTCTTGAAACTGTCGCCAGCATAATTAATGGAGGTGCTATAAACAAGAAGTAAGAAAAAAACATTTTTGTGTGTACTGTTAACATTGTTTCCCTTGAGGGGCGTACAGTGACAGAAATAGAGAAGAATGTTTTTGTTGGTTTATTGTTATACTTCTAAATGTACTCATATGGTCTATTAGTTAAAGTTTAAAATCCTTCAATGTTGTGGCGCTCGAGTGAGTGATTTTGGGGCTGGCAGAGGTGTTAATGCGTGCTCACACCTGGCTGGACGCTGGTTTGCGGTGTTGTTCGTCTTGGCATGTGTATGCCAGCAGCTACGACACTTGTCAGCTCCACGACCGACTCCATGTTTGATGAGCTGGAAAAAAAGATGAACTAAGACGATGCCTGGGAGAACCACTAAATGGGCTCGACCTCCGACAAAGTGTCATCTGCAGACGGAGCTGGTGGACATAATCAGGAGAAGGAGCATTTGCTGGCAATTTGGACACATCAAATTTTCAATTTTCAACTATTGAGCTGCGGAGTGCAAGCTACACAGGTACATTAAGATGTGTATCCATGGAGACCCATCAAGAGAGCGACGATGTCGGGGCAACGCCAAATGCAGGCTGGTGTCATACCTTAAGATGCATAGCAGCACAAAAACAGTCTTCTTAACAAACAACGTGATTATCGCAGCTCGCTGCACCGCAACAAGGGTTCAAGGAACTCTCATCCGTGGTATTCGATCGTACCGACTGTGAGCGAAGACTTGATACACAACCAGCGGGGGTAGATCAGACACAATGAAGCTGTACGGCAAAACAACTCAACGTTTTTTTTGTTATTTGGATCAGTTGAGTCAGTTGGAGGGAGGAGTTGTCTGGATATTGACATGACGAACATTTTGGCAGTTTACAATCAGATATGTGCCAAACTCTTATTTCCCCAAGCAGTTCCAGATGGGAGATTAGTACATCTAAACGTTTGTTGCATCTGTAAAACTGTCACAAACTGCTAGAAGATGTATGTACGTATACATTTTACAGTTAATTTGGCAATTTACCAGTACCAAATACATCCAAAACTGATTTACGTGTGTTATTACATGTGTTTCACTTTGCCTCTCCCCACACAGAGCGGAGCCCAGGACAGACAGATGAAGGGAGAATAACATTGTCTGTATCAATTATATAAGTTTATGGTATTCTACCTTTTGTAGAATAACCATTTTCTCTCTGGTCGAAAAACTGTTTGCACCTTTTCTTGCTATTGACATGTAATTTATTGGTCGGGCTGGTTTGTGCAAATTTGCTACCAGATAGTCAGCTATATATACATCCAGCAGGACACAGAGAGACATTAGCATATAAAGAAGTGTCCTCGTCCAGAGGATTGTTGTTGTAATATTCACTCTATTAGTTATGTTGGGTAATACTTCTTATTTAGTTCCTCTGGCGAGTAATACCGTTCCCATTACAGAGAGTAATGCATCTATTGTGAATAGAAACACAATTATTGCAGTGTCATATATGATTTATAGAGCAGTGTTCTGCATTGTCTTGTCATATATCCTAACACAGAGATGAATCACCTTTTCTCTCTTTGTTGAAAGTGAGCAACGAACCCCCAAAAGTCTGCATCTAAATACATTTTCTCTTCTTACCTTTCCCAGTAAGTACCATTTTCTGTTGCACAGAAACTCTTCCTGGCTGGGCCCCTCGGGCAATGTCAGTATCATCATCGAGCTGCAGCTATGACTCAAAACTCCAGATGCAGTAAAATCCTCTGCAGGAGAGGGAGCATGTGGATTTTACACCATCATCTCTTCTTCCCCGTGACTTTCCCAATGAAACTGCAGGTCTGTAACACTTGTGCCATAGAAACATCTCAACTGAGCTGATCACCGGGGTGAAGTGAAAAGTTTGGCTTGGTGAGAGGAACATAAATCTGTAAACACCCATTGGTAATGGCAGTTGCTAGAGTACAACATGAACATAAAAGGATTTCGGTACCATAAATTAGGAGTTTTTTATGCCGCAATTGCACTGGACGATAAACGGTAAACACAGGCAATGACGTACGGACTACCAAGTCCTTCTGTCTTTTTCAGTTACACTTCTCACACATTTCGTTTTCATTTGAGTGTGGCGGTGTATCTCTAAAATTTAGATCCCGCAGGTGAAAAGACAGAGATTTGCATCAGAACTCACCTCTCGCCGAAGAGCCTCGAGGAACTGTCAAGTCTGCGTACATGAAAAAGAAGAGGAGCTATGCAAATGAAATTAAAATAAACTAAACGAAGAGGGCTGGTTTTGCCCAACGGTTGTCTATGGTTTGCATTCGTTTTCATTCTATTTCTATGTAACTACGTGGGTTTGTGAAAATACACCTGTGTGTGTGAGTGTGTGTCCCAGGAGTTTGTGATTTTTGCCTTCCCGAGCTGATGGAGGTGAATGTGTTTATTGCTAGAGCTGGGAGATAAGATACAGCAGCTTCCTATCATTTAGCCTCCACACATCCATTGCCACAAGTAATGAAAAGTAAAGAATGGAAAATGTCAGATAGAGAAGGAGGGAAAACGATGATTCTGCTGGAAAAACCTGAATTGCTATTTAGAAATAGACCACTAGTGGGCGATACTTTGCGTTCACTAAATGTATGCTAAATGAGTTATTTGCAATCCCTCTTGACAAAAAGGATCACAATTCGGTAGGTCTTTAGGAATTCCAAATCAAAACATTTAGAGTACTCACTTGTCTTATTCTGGCCTGCTTTTTAATACAAATTAGTTTTTTTATCCATGAGCCGTGATCAAATCTGCCAAGAAAACACAGCGTTAATGTATTCTGAACATACAGAACTAGATGTATCGTACAGTGGAAAATAGCTGGTTGTGTTCAATGCCAACCTATTTGATTTCACTGCCCTGAGAGAGAGAGAGAGAGAGAGAGAGAGAGAGAGAGAGAGAGAGACACACACTGTTGTGTGTGAGTAGACACACACCAGTAAATCCTGTCAAATTATTTCCCTTTAAATGCAGTTTGAATTGTGTTAAAATATGCTGAATTAAAATGTCCACATATGGACGTGGAGTGCCTGCGGCATTACAAACTGTGAAACAAAAAACAAAATTTGTTTTTTAGTAGGTTGCCGAGATGAGAAAACATATGACTCATTAGAATACACCACCTGTGATGTGAGTATCTTTACTGAGGGATTGGAAAATTACTGTACAACAGCGCAACATACTTTTCCTGTGAATCAGAACACATTGGGCTTAAGGTGGTGCTTAAAAGAGACAGATGATAAAACATAGCGTTTCTGACAGGAAATAACTACATTCACAATAACAGTAAGTGAGACATTTTTTAAAGATTTTCTTTTTAGCATTTAAACAAACTAAAAGTATGAACCTGAAAACGGTTAAGGGGGACCTCATAGTACTGTTACTACACATAAAGTTTATTAAAAATCAAAGAAAAT